TCGGCCGCCGACTCGGCCGCGCACGCGCTCTGCGCTTTTCGTTTCGCTTCCCGCTGCTTCCTGCCCGCCGCGACTTCGCGGTCGCGTCCTTACGGTAGGCACCAGGTTACGAGAAGCCAATCTTCCGACTTTTATATTTCTCACTTTTCGGCTATACGTGTGATCGAATCGTAACATCTTAACGGAAATAGTGCATTTTTCACGACATCGGCTCTTTACGCTCTCGCGTCGTCTCTGTGGCGACGGTTCGATCAGCTGGAAAAGAATTCTGAGGGCAAACGGCCATGTCGCGGGCACCTCTCACGAAATAGAATGTCCAGTATACGTACGTCGAATGTTTTTTGCCAGGTGGAATATTTAAGTCCGACCAAAGCGAACAGTGTATGAATACGAATCGTACACGTGGTTGCACGGGCTTGCAATGAAATTGATATATAATTGAACGGTACTTCGTGACGTTTGTACGTAGGTCCGATAGCACATAAGATAGGCAGCAATGTCACGACATAATAATAAGTAGCCATTAGGAGATTGATCGTTCGAAGGAAACAACGATACCGTTCTCATTGGCATATAACTACAAATAACTGGTTTTTAGTGACAAAAAAATGGAAACACCTTCAACGAAGACCGTTTATTCACATTTTTAGTAAGACTATAGAAAATATAAAACCACTTTTGTTATTTTTGAGAGGTATCATCCCAGGTCTTATTTGTGGCTATCGGTGTTTGCGCTTAAAACGTCATTCGTTTCTAGTTGTAATAAAGCGTCTCTAAGGAGTCACCTTAGATTTCCGTACGGAACCGGACATGTCTGGATCGGCCTTTAGGGGTCGCACGCCCCGAGCAATCTCGTCCGTTGACCGGGAGCGGGAGTCTGTCCCAGGCTTTGGATCGACGCGAGTAATTAGAAGAGGCGCGTCCCGGTGAGCGCAGTCGGTCGGCCCGACGCGACGGCCAGGTGCGCCGAACCGATCGCCGAAGCGTTAACGACAGGTGCTGCGTTAATAGCCGGGGCCGAAGCGACGTCGATCCGTTGCACCGATCGCCCCTCGCCGAGGCGCTCCGAATGTCAGATAAATTCCCGATACCGGTTGCTTATAAATTGGAATATTTGTAATTGCCCTTGTGCGTGTTACCGGCGTAAACGATGAGTCGAGCAAATACGCTAGAAGCCGCGATCGAGTGATCAGAATTGAGTACGTGTTTACGGTAGAACGGGAGAGCGCTGCGGTCGAGACGAAACGGAGAGGGAGGAAGAACGGAGAGCGCGTGTTTGCACGCACCTCGTGGGAATCTTGCTCTTTGTCACGCGTGTTTAATAACGCCTAATGCGACGAACCGACCAAGGTGACGCATTTCACTTTTTTTTTTTTAACGATCAAGCAGTTTTTTCGTTCCTACGATTTTCACCGTGGTCGTTCGCCCGCGGAACTGCTTTGTTTGCAAGTATCCAGTATACGTTCCGAATGACTTGTGGTACTTTGGAGCAGATTATGACCTTTCGGGTAGTTTATGCGCCGTGTTTTTAAATTATTTACGCGAGAACAGTATTTTTTTTCTCTTTTGCGCAGGGCACTGAGCGAAAAATTTACTTTCTAGGCGAAGTTGAATATCGGTGATGATCTAAACGTTTCTTTCCAAACAATATTCTTGGCCCCGTCAAAATTGATTTTGTAGGAATCATTGGCGGTGAGCTAAACGATGGGAAGTTGATATTATATTGATTACTAGACGAATGCCTTTGTAACGAGCGAGTGGATTTTTCTAAACGGTTCGACAACTACTGCACAGCTTTGATTTCATTAGGGTCTCTGATAAGCCTAGTCTATTGCGATCAAGGTTTCCTTTTAATGCGTTTCCAAATTCAAGCGTCGAAACTTTCTTTGGAGTACCTTTCATCCGAGAGAACATCGCGGATCAGTTCGCCGACCGGCGTCCAGTGGTCGGACTCGCGCTCGCGCTACCAATGAGCGAACTCGCACGTTGCCTAGGTGTCGGCGAACAACGTTCGCTCAGGTTGGAGGAGCTTTGTTTTCTCGTTGCGCTCGCTAACGGGACTGCAACATACAATAATTCGAACACGAAGAAGTTAGGGTCGTTAATGTGGACCAATCAGCCAGCAACCTCCGAAGCGGCCGTATCACGCTTCGGTAGAGGATATGTGCAAATGGACTCTCATCTGGTTTTCCGACTTGAGGTACGGGATTTGTGCCCCAAATGTGAAGTATCCATAATAATTTTTCACGCCAAAAAGAAAATGAACGAAACATTTTTACAACAAAAGCGAAAAGAACAACTGGTATGATGAGCTTTCATATATTTACTTCTTACAATTACGTATACCTACATATTTACATCAACATATACATGGCGTAACAATATGATACACGTATATTACAAAAATTTATTGCCTACTTCAATTTAATTGAATCATCTACTATCCGGTCATTTAATACTTCTAGTACGCCAGTGTCTTTATAACTTGACAAATTGACGGGTCAATGCGTGTTATTCGCACGATGAACATGTCACATCGATGATTACGAGACTGGTGATTACGATCGATATTAATCGATATCAAATTTGTTCGATCATTTAACAAATTTGAACGATTCAAGTCTCTCCAGCTTTGTTATGCGTCGATCGCATCGCTTCGTGAAATTTTAGCTGTTGGATATGATCGACTTTCGTTAAACAAAAGCATAACCGATTGGGAAGCTGTGACATGTACGAATTTACTTCTATGGCAGAACACGTTACTCGAAATTGTTCTCAAGGTTGCAGAAGTTTTGAATTAATTTAATGGTAAGAACGAAGCCGAAGAAAATCTTCATTATTTTTACGGACTGAACCGCCAGCGGTCGTTACTAAATTAATTTTACACGATATTATTTCATAGAGGTCGATTTCCTCTCCTTAGGGGGCAGAACTACACATTATCTAATATCATATACTGAAGCAACTCAGCGAGTAGCACGCTTTTCAGAAGATATTACATGAATGAAGATTACAATTCTAATTGTTGGCTTACGTAATAACCGTTTTCGGAGTCACCGATTACACATTGCTAAACGGTTGCGTAAATCTTTTTTATAAACGAAATTTCACGTAGTTTAAGAAATGACCACTTAAAATATTACGAGCATACTTCAACTATTCACGACTAAAATATGGAGATAGTTCTTCTATTTCAGTTCCGATGAAATCGACTGAAAAATCGACTAGGTACTTTCGAAAAAAATGTCGCCAAGTTAAAATACATATAGGCACTGAAGCAACGCTTCAATTGTCATCGCATTCGTTTGACGACTTTGAGCGTGTACCACGAGTTGCAGCAAAAGTATACAAATGGGCCGATTGTCTAACAAAAGAAATAAACAAGTAAAAGAAGAAGCTTTGCGCTCTGACGACTGACGTACGTCATCCCGCGTTGTTCTATTCGACGTATTCTAACGTCGCCCCTAATGTCATCTGCTTCATCTTCGAGTTTTCTTCGATGCAACCGTTCATTCGGAATGTCCTCCGTTTGAGATTTTCCACAGATCAAATTCATAATTACCGAGGATAACGGGAATACATTGAAATGTGTATGCACGTGCGCACACGCACGCACGCGCACACGCGCGCGCACACACCATACACCCTAGCACACACGATATAATTCGAACGCGCATTATGTTCGATATTTAACGGCCAAATTATTGGGCTTCGGTAGAATTATTTTACGTCAAGTATTGCGGCGTTTCGTTTTGCGTTCTCCCACCGAACTACATAATATCCTTCTCACATTTTACGGCATATTCTACACTTTAGTTTCGAACGATACGCACGAGGTCGTAAATATAATGAAAAGGGCTTTAACCCTTTGACTGGCAAGCCCTTTCGACGAGTGGGCGAAATTCTTCAAGGCGTACAGGGCAATAGAGGGCCAAGTTTTGGAGGCACACAGGGTGTCTCGTAAATAGCGATTCATTGAATAATGAACTGAGAATAAAAGAAAAATTGAATCAAATAAAAACGAGCGTTTGGGGCATTTTCGCACGGGACGCGCCATCACCGATCCGTTCGAATCCCATACTCGAGGTTAGTCAATTTTTATCGTTAATAACCCGATAAGTAATTACTCGAAGAATAGGTTAAGGAACAAGGGTCGACTTTAAATTTCGTCAATTTTACCCGTCTCTACTTTGTTCTGGGACATTCCGTATATATGTCTCTCGCAGTCAAAAGGTTAAAAATAGAAAATAACGCAGCTCTACAGGGTGGACTAGGCCGAGGGATATTAGATTCCATAATGCACGATTCACCGATACATAATACTGTATATTGGAATCTCTCATTTTGCACTTTGACCCTTCTTTAACCGAACCAAACCCACGTACTCGCAATCGCATTCGTGCCTTGGATGTGGATATCGTAACAAATTTGACACGTAGATACGTGGATGCATTTAAGAACTCAATGCGTGTTCGGGGCTAGAGATTCAACCGAAATGAAAATTTAAATCCCCAAAAAGATGCCGAGGTCCCAAGATCGTTTCGTATCCAGGCACGGTATGGGCACGGTATGGGCACGGTATGGGCACGATATGGGCACGGCACCAACCTGAAAGCGAAGAACCGACACGCCGAGTAGGTACTGCACAAGTTAATTGAATCTCAAATGCCGAGCCAGCTTGTCGGACAACGTGTAAAATAAGAGAATCGACTGTTCCGAAGCTCGTCCATTATGTCGGAAACCGTGGGGAATTCGAGTGATGGATGACGTCGTTGCCTGCTCTTTTGAATAAAAAATCTCCTCTGTCTTCGTTCTCAAGGTCTCAGCAACGTCTCCTCGCGTTCCCATTGATCGAATTCAAATTATTTTCATTTTTGCGTTGCACCAGATCTTGCGCGGTCTTGCGCAGTGGTTTCTAATAGCGTAATTCAACGGAAGATAACATTTAGTCCTATAAAAAAAGCTGTACTTAAGATACATAAATACTGTTGGTCGTAAACTTAATTGTCCGCCTTCCGCAAAACCTCTTCTGCCTTCACTCTGAGGACTTCGGCACTTTGTCTTCTCGCGTCCTCGTCGGATGAACCGGAATCTTCCTCTCGTTCGTGTTTGGAACTGAGGTTTTGCGGCAAACTTTGCACTCCCAAGTTCAAAGGGTGCGTGTGCATTTGCGAGGTCAATGGGTGAGAATTGACCGTGCCATGGTTCAACGAAGATGCAGGATTGAGTCCTACCGGAAGGACTGTCCCAAGCGATGCTAAATTTTGTGGCAAGGGTAGTCCAATGTACTGAGACAAAATAGCGTGAAGAGGTGGCAATTTTGGAGCACTCGTCGACCAGGGGGGAGGGAAGACGGGCGGAATGAACCACGGGAAGGCACCCGCCGCTGGATTGTTCGTCTCCGTTCCCGGCACACCACTTGCACTTTGCAACAAATGCGCATGGAGGGAGAGCTCGTTCACGCCTGGAACAAAATATTAAAGTGGATTCGATTAGACTCACTGCCGGGACCTTTCTCTCAATGCGAATTTGGCAACATTCGCTGTGAAATAATCCAAGTAGCGATCGTTTAGTTTTAGGAGAATGCTAGCTAGTTATCCTTGGTCCTGGCTACGCGCTATTCGGGCACACTTCCTAGTAACTGGAGCGCTCTCACTAGTTAGTCGCTGGACGTTCAAATTGCCTAGTCTTTAGAGAGAAACTACGTAAAAAGTAGGTCTCGTGCGTCTACCTCTTTCTTATTTTTCTTAGGAAATTGGGGAAATTCAATTTAGATAAATACGTTGCGGAATTACGCGAAGTGTCGCGCCGCTGTGCAGACTTTTGACAGTGATACCGCACAGACCAATGTCTGTGTTGGGTGGATCGGCCATTAGCAGTGCTTTTCTTACGCCCGACCGTACTTTTGTTCGAGCAACGGTACCGTTGTAGGGATCAACGAATCCCTTATCTTGCCAAACGACGTCTTTAATTATTTGCACGGCACCTGTTTCAACGTCGGGAAATTTAGGAGGAGATAAATCGCGGGGGCTTTCGGTCCACGCTTCGCTAATAGTAAAGGGCACTCGCTGTAAAGATCGTTGCTCGTCCCGCTAATTATCACTCGTCGCTTCTCCGTTATACGTTACATTCCACGATACTTCTCCGTCTAATCTCTTCCTGACCTTTACGTACTCCCTCTCCGTCTTTCTCTCATTCAACATCTATAAACTTTACGAGCCAACATTGGACATTAAGTATAGATTTCTATGGGCATTATATACAGTCATTTCCTCGTTCGGTGTAACCTTAATGAAAGAAAGATTTCAAAGTTTCGAACGAAGAAACAACGGCACTGTCGATTTTTGATGTTGAAAAGGTACCTTTTATAAACAGTCCCGATATTGCGCTTTTCGTGGAATACATGTGAAATGAAAAACGTATTGTATAAATGTCCATACTTTAAAAGACACTTTGCGAGCATAAGCGCGCGGACATCGTGCGGTAGCGCCTTCGGGAAGATGTAATCGCGAAATTCCGTACTCGGGTCGGATTGCCCGATCGCAGTCGCGGCAAGTGGAATTAAATGCAATTGTCTCCGATTTGATCTACCCTCCGACTCGTATCTCGGCTCCGGGTAGCGTCGAATGGCCAGATCGAGAAGCGACCGCGTCCGCATTGACCATTCTCGCAACGCGACGCATCTCGAATTTGTTCGATTCGATTCCGCCGTTTTCTCACCTGCTTGCTCGACGTGCATGAAACTGGTGTCCCTGCCCAGGGCCTTCTCTCGTTTGCGCCATTTTGCCCGTCGATTCTGGAACCACACCTGAAACAAGTTAACGGGATCCTAAACCTCTCCGCCATCACCAGCAAGAGATGCGACTCGCGTTTTTTTCGAAAGAAGAACATTACTCGCGATGATAAATGCTTTTATAGAAAACTACAGTTGCTGTGACCACCTAGGCCGTATCCGGCAACAAATTCGCGTTAAAATATCAACTTCTAGGACCTATTCACCACCGAGATGGCCCCATTTTAATTAAAAAGTAGCGATAAGATCCTGTTCAGTTGTTTCGGAATGATTTTGAAGCGAGATTCATAAGAGATAGGTTTTGTATCTTGACGCGCGTATCACATGTTGCGAAACATGTGGTTAAATGATACTAAACGTTCGGACACGTGTAAAAAACGGAATGGAAAGGCCTAATTGAAACCGATTAATAGATTCCGAGTTCTTGAGCGATAGGTACCTATTCAAATCAATTTGAAGGTATTGGGCCATCTTTAAGCAGATGTTGCCGACCGACCGTGACAAACTCGTTCAATTCGTGGGCCCAGTCTGTCCTTCAATGGCAAGTCATGCTAACGGTTTCAATTAAATGTCAAAGGTTAACACGTAGCGTTACGATTGGCCATAGTCGTTTCATCGGTCTTCTTAAAACTGAACATCTTCGTTGTAATTCCAGCTTTTAGGGTATCATTGGCACTCCATGTAAAAGTATCGTGGAAAACCCGGACCCGATCGGGCCACCTACTCTAGGGAAATCGTAGTCGAATTTTGATCGCGGAACGTTGTCGTGCCGCGGGATGAGCCAAAGCCGGACTTGTGCCTGCGCACACGCATTCGGAGACGAAGAATTGCCATGAGAACCCCAGTACGCGTATCGGAGCACCCAACAAAAGCTTGCTCTCGAGGCTGATTAAGCTAATTGTTAACAATTATCCTGATTTCCTCCGGACCCCTCGGTGGCAGCAACCCCTGTTCCCCTACGGCCGCACTCGGCCCTGCGGCCCCTGCCGCTCCTGTCGCTCCTGCCGCTCCTGCCGCCCCTGCCGCCCCTGCCCCCTGCCCCCTGCCCCCTGCCGCCCCTGCTCGCATTGCAGTATAAATGCTTTCGCTTTACGCCTGACTTGCTCTGATTTTTAGCGGGCACACCAACCCTCCGGCTTCAACTCTTCGCCGTGGAGTAAGTTACGCGAGTCCCGATTGTTCACAGTGTGCAGCGTCTTTCAATCTGGAAGCGTGTCTCATCTTCGACCAGCTACCAGCAGATAAGGGATCGGTCAATGTGACTTCGCGTAAGCGATGGCACGGGCAAACCTGACGATCCTTCACAATTCCAAGCAGCGGTAGGAGACGCGTTTCCAATCAACGGAAAAAGTCGGCTCCGAAAGCCATGAAAATGCAAGTCAAAAGGAAGAAATTGAAAAGTAGAAGGGAGCAAGCAAGGGAGCCTTAAGACTCGAGCCGTAACGGGAGAGGGGAGGAAGAAAGTTTCGAACCGCAACCGCAGTAGCGCTCGAATCGGAGTGACCCGCCGGGGAAGAAAATGGCTCGCGGGTTCCGCCTCGTCTACCCTCGCCGCTCTCTCGCAGGGTCACCACCTTGATGCGGTGGCTAGAGTTCCATTGTCTAATTGCAGTTAATTGTTTAATCGTTCCTAAATTTCCACCAACGGCCAAGTGGTCGCAAACAGTGCGGTGAACGGGGCGCTCAACCGTCCTCGGGGAGGAACTCGGAACTCGAAATCGCGTTAGTTAACGAAAGGCCGAGAGAGAGAGAGAGGAGGGAGAGGATCGGGACAGCCTTAACGCTTAATTATCGGAGCCGATCCGCCTCGGCCGGTCGATCGAGCCCCGATTAAGCGCAGGCCGGTCCTCCGCGGAGGGACCTCCTAGATTGAAATAAAGTGGACGCGGCACCACTGCGACGACGGATCATTTAGCGGTTTTGTCGAGCGACGGCCAATTGCTGGCATTGTCGCTTCGCTGTACCACAATGGGCCAATCGGAACGCTCCGTCTCTTTTCATTCCCGCTCACCCTGCCGCTCCGTTTCCGACTCGCTCCCCTCGTTCGCGCAAGGGTGTCAGATAGTTACGCTAATCGAGTAACCAATTTCCAACGATAGAAAAGTCATTCTCACTCGCGAGCGATCCGATCCTTTTGCCGCCACTCTTGAATGTCCGCCGATCGTTAGCGACCGTCGACGTGAGAAATCGATCGCGAATCGCCAATTATTGCGACTGCGGCTACTTGCGAGCTCCAGCTACTGTGCGAAACCAAGGCTTTCGCGGGTATAAGGCCACGAGAACCGTTTCTTCCTAGGATTTTTCTCTTTTCCCGACAACGCCGGTAAACGAATCGGTGCCACGAGAACCGATAGGCGGACGAGTCGGTCGCGTTTTTCCCGTAAGTTTCAAACACCATATTTTTTTTATATTATATCTAATTTTAGCGGCTATTTTAGTTTTAACGGGACAGGCGGATGGCGTGGCTTTCTCGCAAATGGCATAGACGACTCGATTGTACATAATATCCGTTACTATTTTTTACGTTTAAGTCGTAATGTCCGCTTTATTATTTCAAATGCCGATATTCTAACTTTACGTTAAGAAAACATTTTCAGCACCACACTTAATTACAGCAGAAACGCGAAGGAATACCGACAGGAGCATAATAAATATGATAAACTTCCATAATCATAAAAATTGATTGCTGAAAATAGTTTAGGTGAGTAACGGAACTTCTCAATACAACGGAAAAAAAAAAAATACTATTTGGGTATGTTAAATTTACAAAGATATTTTAGTAACATCGTAATGTTTACAATAAATAATGTGAAATTAGAGTATATAAAGTTACAATTTTCGTTATTTGTTCCTAGAGAGTTATAGTAAAAATAGAATCGTTCATTTTACTGCTTCTAAAGTGTAAAATAATATAGCAACTGTTACAACACGTTGTAATTCAGAATTCAAGTTCATTTACTGTAAAAAGTGTTCGAGTCTTCTTTTCACAGTGAAACTAGTTAAAGCCAGTTAATTTAACTGTGTTTCTCTCTTAGTGTATGGAATGTAATTACATATTGACGGAATAAATGTTTCATTATTGCTTTATATTAATAATTGCTGTCTGTATCATGTTTACCATTGAATGATCAACGCTTTTGCTCGCTGAATTTGTTTATTTTCTACAGAAGAAAGCATTAATTACAGTCCAACTCGAACGATATCATTCACAAGGCACTTTGTCCAATTTGCCAATCGGAGCGAAAAATTCGATGAACTTAGGGGAATAACAAAGTAACTCGAGATGAGATCCTGCCGATTCGGCAGGATATTCCCGCGCATTCAGTCCTCGTCAAAGAATCCCACGAGCATCGAGAACGCTGCTTAAGCCGCTGCAAAAGATCGAGCGCGATCCCGTTGGATTACCCATCTCGGTGAAAAGCGATCCGCGAGGCGGAAGAGTAGGTGTCTTTCGCAAAATTACTGTCGATTGACGGAGCTGCAGATTTTCCGACAATGCTGCGTAATTAGTTGAGTGGCCGCGGGAGGTCCATACGTTGAAAGCCCCAGAAGAGCCCACTCGACGGGAGAGTCGCGTGCATGCCAACGACATGCCGGATCAAATCTGAGAGTTGGTAACCCCGTCGAGGGTTCCAACTTCGGAAGTCGGAAGAACCGAAATTCGGCCGTTCGAACGCCTCGAGACGTTACCTCGGCCGTCTACACCCGTCGCGAAGCGTTTAATCATTCCAATTTATTTTATTTCAATAGGAAAACACGCGAGTCCAAACTCTTCGAGATCTTTCACGCGAAGGAGCGAAACGTGACCGTTGACAGCTACTCGTCAAGTTCCATTCCCGATTATTCGTATCGTAGTAACCAAACGTTAACGGTCAAAGATTGTCTTTCAAAATTTCTCGTACATTACGTTTTTAACCGATGGTGAAGATTACTTAAACTTTGAACCGAAAACCGATGTTTGAACTGCCAACGCACCTGAACTCTAGCTTCGGAGAGATCCAACCTCATAGCTAATTCCTCCCTGGTAAAGACGTCCGGATACTGTGTCTTCTCAAAGGCTCGCTCCAACTGGTGCAGCTGATAGGTCGTAAAGGTTGTCCTGGACCTTCGCACCTTCCTAGGCCTGTCGGACTCGCCCAAGTCCAAAGGATCGTTCAAAGAGTCGTTGATCCGATGCTCGCTTAGGTGTCCCAACTCCGTGTCCCCGCTTTCGCCGACGGCGTCCGAGGAAGTTGCGTGATCTGCGGATTACAAAAGAGAACTTGGCGATAATACGCGAATAGTCGTTTTGCCGTATTGCACGCAACGCGAGTAAACGGTTACTTCCATTGATTAATCCGGGGCACGGTCGTGCACGACCGCCAACGCAATCGAGATCGCTAAATCTGTTAAAAGGATTTAGCGCGAACGGGGAGTCGCGATCGAGGGGGGCCGAGAATTGCGGAAAAGACCCGCGACGAGACTCGCGTCCATCCGTGAATTCGGCTCCTCCCCGGGAGGTCGAATGACGCTTAACGGCGGACCCCTTGAAAAGAAACGAGCATTATTTCGCCGCGTCAATCGCAAATGAGAGCTGCAGCGAATATCGCAAATACGCGCGTATCGCGCGATTTAACGGAACACTGCCGAACCGAAGCGGGCAATTGCAGTTTTTAAGCCGACCTGCCCCCGAGCCCCGTCGCCCCCGGCCCCCCGACCCCCCGGCGACTCTCTGCCGACGCTCTCGATATTCCATACATCCGCGACGAGCGATCGACGGTCTTTCCAATTTTTAAGCCTCCGATATTTTATTTTTATCCGCATGCGAAACAGCGCCGATATTTGCCAGTGCTTAAACGCCGTTGCTGTTAGTGATTAGTAAATATCGAGACCCCGCGCGGTGTTGGTGCCGGTGTTGGTGCCCCTTCGCTGCCCACTCAACTTGCCCGTCTGTCAACCCCTCCGTCGCATTCTACGCTCCACCCTCCCTCTCTCCCTCTTTAACTATCGATGAGCTCTTAATGCTCTATTAAACCAACCTGTACAGAGATTTTCAGCAATCTCTGCGAGAACGCCGACGGCCCACTCGATTTTAAATCCCTACCTTCTATTTGGTACAACCCACACCGATGTCTACGATAATCGCGTTGTGCGCATTGCGTGCACCTCAATGCCATTACTTCCAACGAGCAACGGTCATTTTCGGATCAACTTTGTTCGATGTACGAGTCGATGCAAACCGACCACGTGGATCTCCGCTGGTACGTAGTGCTTTCGATTTCTCGCGAAAAAGAATGCGTTCGACCATGTAACCCTTGTTAACTCAAATTTTTGCTCCTCGCTGACAATTAGCCGGGTGTTTGCTCGTTCGTTCGCTCGTCCGTCAGTCCACCTAATACTTTGACATCGGGTCGGTTTTTGGGTTTGACATTATCAACTCGGAGGTTCTCGGTTATGGGAAAGTCGCGCGCCCCAAGTCTCGAAATCCACTAATCGACAAACTATTGCACCAACGGAATATTACTGGAATCGCTGTTGTACGATCATAACTTTGACGAATATTTTCAAATCCTCGTTATCGGTTGGCAGCGAGTAATCGAGGATATTCAAATGATCTCGATCGCTCGAAACCGTCAAATCAAGTAGATCCAACTGGGGAAACTGACCGACGAATGGGACATCCGTGGGTGTGCTCCTGTTTCATTTCGATTGGTCGGGTCGTCGGAGCGACAACAAATTATCCCAATTAAAAGCAAAGGCATATACCCTGGCCATGAGTAATAACGTTAATCCTACTTTCCAACTAGCACAGACACAGGGCCTACAATTGTAATAGCGCGCATCCATTGATGGGAGAACTCTTGGCGTCCCTGCAGGCCCACGCTGTGTGTGCACGCGTAATCGCACTCGTATGCATACACACGCAGCGGCTCAGCGGCTAATCCGGCCTGAATAGAGAGATTTTTATGTTTTTATGCGAGAACACAATAGCGTGCCCACTTGATGCCAACCTCCCTATTGCTTTTTATTAAATCTACGAGAGCCCGCTGGATGATGCCAAGCGAAATTAAAAACTTATTTACCGTGTATTCTTGAGCGGGTCTTCCACCTGCCGTCGTCGATCCACCAACCAAATTTCCTCTTTACGTCCCCACGAATCTTCATCGATTTGCGTTTCGATTCATTTACGTGTGTTCGCGAGGAATTAAGGTCAAGTGAAACCCGCCACGAACTAATTGATTCGAGTAAGACCCTTTTTTTCAAAGGCATTTCACCGAACTGGCGGAAATTTTAACGTGTGCACCTAAGAAAAGTCCCGACACTTTAAAATTCGGATTTTCAAACCAAATTTTGTTAATTTAACCTAGACCCCATATGGCGCTGTGTTTTCGTATATCGAGCAATATGCGATTTTCGGAGGCTCTGGTGCGAAAAACAAAAGCGTCACGCGACAATTTAGATCACTTTAGTAGTCGAGAAACGGGAATTTGAACGCGATGCAGGCAACGGAAGTGTCTTGGGAACTTCGTCTGTGCCAACGATAAGATGAACGTTAGAGTATTAAAAATCAGGACCTTCCTTAGGGCCTTCCTAATCACAAGGGAAAATTTCAAATGATTCGGTACAGTCCCAGTTCGAAGGACAGTTTCATAAACGAGACCCCCTCGGATGCCCCTTTCGCATCACCTTAAGGATCGAAATCTTAATACAGTGAAGGTATTATCTTTCATATGCAGTACTCAGTGTCATCCAGGATTATGTTTCCGATAAACATCGTATGAAAAAATAAGGAGCGCTTTTATGTTTTGACAGGCCATTTTCCAGCGTTGATATGCAGCGTTGGTACGATCTGTTGAACATACCGATACGGATTAACAAACGATCATTGAAAATATTAATAACGAATTTATTACTTCTCCTCTCTGAGAAAAATTCACCTGCGTCACGTCGCAGTAATGAATCCCATTCAGGCTCGTTAAGTAGTATGCAGATACGGACGTCCACGTAATCCGCACGAGTGGTTCGTACAAGTTACGAGCTGGAAAGAAGGATCGAGGTTCGTTTCAACATTCCGATTTGCAAGAGAGCTTTCTCGTAACATTTTTCCAAGTTTTCCAGCCTGAACTATAGGCTGATCGCTCAAAGCGGTTTATTTGCTTGACGGATCATACTCCCGAGACCATAATACGCTAATATCGTTATAATTAGCGAGGTGTATTGCCGAAACCCCGACGCTAGGGATTACTTAATTACATAAGAAGTTAATGTCGACCGAATCGGTCTCTCGGTGCCTCTTTAGGTAACGATACGAAAGAGGCAGCAGTCCTCCCGATTGCGATAACGTCCCAAGAACGAAGGTCAAATATGTCCCCATGCGCACCCCACCGACTGCAATCGGTTACTTACCCCATTGGCTATTTTATACTGGAATTCCGGTGACTCCGAGTCAATTTTGGATGAAAACAAATTTATTCCGACGTCATCGTTTAGCGACACCTGCGGTATTCGAAACTTGCAACGACCGAGCGCGACATAATTCGCGTGTCCACCTTGTCGGTGGTTGAGTAACGAACGCTACACGACGACTCGACGTTCTTTTCCAATAAGCTTTGTCTTAGCAACGTTTTCGGTTTTCCAAGTCGGGAAACGATCATACGATTATAGCAGTACAGGCTGTGGATATTTCATCGATAGCACGGAGTCCGTTAATCTTAGCGAGATGTTCCTGTGGAAATTTAATTAAAAACCTCTGAATGCACCCTTAATGAAAAGAAGCACAGCTGAACCAACCCTTGTAAATAGAACTCTATTAACTACTTATAATACACCCCTCAGAAAGTAATGAGTTTCTACAGTTTCAATCAAATTAACGGACTTCTCGAATTAATTATTGTGCTTTGAAAATCGAAACTGTAAATAGCCGTTTGCGAATTAATAGTAAAAATGACCGTGATACGAATCTATTCAATTTGCAATAACATTACGTATTTGCGTGATAAAATTGCGACTAGATTGTAACAAACAACTGTAATTACTTTACTAATTATCGTTCTTAATCGATCGGTTGCCATCAAACAATACGCACACAATTCTTACATGTTCACAAGTTGTCATTCTTCAAGGGTAAATCTGAATATTTCAAATGCATATTGACCCGCTAACAATTTTTTATGTTAAAATATTCAATTACAATAAACTCAATATCTCAGATTTCTTTGGTTTTTCAAGACAGATGTACCGTTTTGTGACTTGGTGCCTTTGATTTGAGCCTCAATTAGAGCATAAAATGTCGGAATGAACGCATTTTCTTGTAAGTTTCCCAATACCCGCTTTAGTGTATGTGCCTGAAGGAATGAATAAAAATGTATTTATATTCCGCCAGCAACACGACGTGGAAACGTAGCGTTAAAGTACCAATAAAAGCAAAAGATATTTACATCTACTGTCAATCTAATTCTGGCGCGAATCCTACAGTTCAGCTTATTGACATTACATAACAGCATTGTAACTACCGACACTCTCGTGCAAGAAGAGTGTCAGAGAATGCTTTCGGACTCCTTCCGCAAAAGTTTAGACAGTGCAACGGAAGATCCGTGCGTTTCGTTCCGGAGACGTAACGTGTCGGACGAAACGTTCTTGCTGGACGTTGCGAGCACGACGCGCAATGTATCCGGACGGAAACATAAATATTCGCAGAAACGTATGCAAAAGTACATGTCCGACCGGGCGATACAAACCAAAAGCGAACAATGACTTCGGACCTTCAGGATGTGATCAGGATGTGATCAGGTTGTGATCAGGATGTGATCAGGATGTGATCAGGATGTGATCAGGATGTGATCAGGATGTGATCAGGATGTGATCAGGATGTGATCAGGATGTGATCAGGATATGATCCGGATGTGATCGGGATGTGATCGGGATGTGATCGGGATGTGATCGGGATTTTTCCGTCGAATCGCTCGAGTCGCGGATTCCGTTGAAACGAGTGACCGAAAGAAACGTCGTCCTCGAATTGAGCGCTAATTCGGCGTATCCGTTGGTCGGTCTATCGATAGTATCGATCGCGGAGCGGAGGTCGCATCCATGTAGGAAGTTGCGTGCGGTGTGGCCAGGTTACCGAGCCCGATCCATCAGATTTCCAGGCAGCCGACGACCTAATTACCGTCCCTTACAAAGCACATATCGGTCGAGTCAAACACGAATCGAGTCGTGCGGGCATTACACCGTGTAATGCAATTTCTCTGTTGTAACGTATATTCTGGCAGGTACTATCGCGCAAATGATTATCGTATCCGGTGATCGACGTTAATTTCAACATTGATGGCTACTTTACCTAATTATTATGTGACGCGATTCCACGCTCGGGAAACTTGATTACGCCACCTTTATTTTACCTTCACTTGCAGACCTATTCAATTATTCAACCCATTTATTATGTCGATGCGTAACAAACTAACTCATTTAAAGGAAATAAATGATTCGTCAAGAGATACAGTTATCAGGTTGGTGCACAATTTAATGTTACGCTGCAAGGTAAATTAAAAAAGTTTTGTAAATATTTTGACGTTTCGGTACATGTAGAATGACCCTATCGTAACACCTTAACCAATATGAATTTAACATGGAAACAAAATCGATTATATTTTTGGGATAAAATTTTGTACTTAACTTAAATAATTTACTACTTGATATAAATAATAATTAATAGCGAGTAAACAATGTCTGAAGATGACGTAAAAATTATTTTACCGGTAACTTTGCAAAATTTGAGAGGAAACATTAAACATGCTGTAAGTCTATGAATTTCTTGTTTGGTAAAAGAATATTTGTTTTAATTTTCGAAGTGTATCAGCTTTTCATTTTAAGACATTTATATGCAAAGAAACCGATTGCAATGAGTGATAAAAAGTTGGTCAAGTTCAACTCAAGAAGTTGAGTATTATTGGAAACTTTCTCTAATTTTATTCCATCGGTCTTACGATTTATTGTGTTGGAAGCGGCAAGAAAAGATCTATTTGACTCATGATTTTGTTTTCTAGATAGTAATACTTTCTCGCTTACTGGGAAACGTATTTTTAAGGGTCCCTCCCGATCCTGTTCATTCTGATACATGTGAAGTGTATAACAAATTGAGAGACATGTATTTTATTTTGAAATGGCAATCGTCCACAGTTTACAGGTGAAACAACCCTCCTTCTCCAGTTTTGCGAAAATTCGACTTAAATATTGATACTCGTAGAACGAAAAATTGAAATTAGTATGGAACGGTCTGGAGTGGATAATGTCATATCGGTTGCGACCATTTTCTTATAAACAAGAAAACAATGTAATATTACTTGTAGTTATTTTATAGTGGTTTCAAACACGTCACTGACTGTTTTAAACTTCGACACGGTTATAATAATCTCGGAGGAACTCTTATAATTAACTGAAATAAGAATATTTAAGGCCGACCAAAGGTAACACGTGGACACCATTCCGTGTATGATCTTTACGTATATATACCATAGAACAATACTGATACGAGATACGACTCGTGGTTTAACATTGACAATAACGGAGCTTTTTAATTTCACTCTTCTAATCGACATTACGATCGTATCTCTGTTATAGCGTTCCTTCCAAGTTCATCGAGACAACTGTGTATTATCAACTAAAAACTATATTCTGTCTCCTAGACGGCCGTTCAAAATCACCGATGAAAGGGGGTCAGCGTTTCCTTACCGACTCGAAATGGGAGGAAAACCGTGAAATGGCGGAGAATTTCAAAAAATGAACGGTACGAACCTTCTTCCTTGGCATGGCCCAGGATCTGGTCGATGCTGTAGACGTTCCTCTTTTGATTGTAAGTCTGCGCCATTCTTGCGAAGCAACCCCGTGTCCGAGAGATCACTTTCGCGAGTACGTGTCCAAAGGCCACGGCGGGAAACGGAAAACGGGAAGGCGACAAGGGTACGAGGCGACGAGGCGACGAGGAGAAAAATAAAGATTTGAGTTTGGCGCTTCCGGTGGCGGCGCCGTCTCCTCGGAAGGTGGTCCCTCCGGCTGGTGGCACGGCCGAAAGAATGCGTCGGGCGACGGCGCAACACGGACTAGTCGTCGGACATGAAACCAGCCCTTAATATCGTGTACACTCGCCCCACCTGGCAACCCCCGACACCGCCATATTAGTCTCTCGACCAATCGGCGCGCCGCGTTTTCACGCAAGCCTCCCAGTCGAAGGGGGTTGAATGAGCTCTGGGCGGGGAATATTTAGCCCTTCCAAGTAGAATCCTCTTCTTTCCACGCGGTCGTCACGACCGGATCCGACCAGAGTTTCGACCTTCCTCTCCGATCCGGACTTACGCTCGCCATTCATGTACTTCTCCAGGTCGGATCCTTCCGGATTCTTATGTTTCATTTGCCGGTTAAGCCGTACCCCGTGTCAATGACCAAACTCCGTGTCGTCGAATCGTCCTAGTATCGTCCTCGTGGCCCGTAACAATTCCACGAGGTACGTGTGCACTTTAGGAACGATGCGGACGTCGAGGAAGTGACGTTTGTTGTGGCATACAATCCTAGGAGTAGGTATTAGAAAAAGTATTGACGTTCGCGATGCGATATCCAGCCACAGACGTCAATTTTGTAAAAAAAATATTTTATAAATATATGCCCTTTTACGTTTTTTCCGAGTCAAGGCCCCTCGGATTCACCCGTAAAAATACTTTTATTATCCCTGGACGGACATTACATGGAATTTCTCCTGTTACCGTGTCACAGTCAACTGCAGTATGCATGCAAGTCGATATATTATTAAATGCTTACGGTTATGAACTGTAATTTGCTCTGATGTTCTTGCAAATAGTTATACCATTTGAAATGCATCAGCGCCTACTGCAACTGCGGCATGCACCTTTACGAAATATTTGATCGAATGATCGATTGAATATCACCGATTTGCGGGAATCAAAACGGTACATTTATTCGAGCCATAAGGGTGCTTAAGAGAACCTTGAAGCTCTCTACCGTTACAGGGTAGTAAAAATACGAGTTATGAGTTTTCGAAAAAAATATCATTTCTTCGTATCTTTGTAGAATGAAATAAACATAGAAATGAATGGAAGTACTATCCAGAGCCTATGGAAATCAAAAAGAAAATAACAAATTATGGATGCTGTCATCTCTCATTAAATAAAAGTATGAAGGACCTGTTCACTTTCAAGACGATCGTATTTCTAATGATAACTGACGTTACAATATCGTTGAGTCGTTTCAGAACGGCTTCGAAACGGGAAAGTAAGCAAAAAACGAGAAATCGCGCTATGCGTGCCTTTTCCTCGTGAGAAACTGACAAAGTGGGTATGAAAGTACAATGGAGTAAATTAAAAAAGTTGCATAACAGATTCCTAAACTAAATAATTTTCATTACGATTTTGATACTTTCTCTATTGCGCTTTGTGTGCATTCGTTTTTCCTTAACCTGTCGTTTTGATAATGATTTACTTTAAAAGTACACGCAAGTATATCAAGGGTAATTCCACAAAACAGTGGAAATTTCTCGGTCACGGGAAAGCTGAAATGATTAAATTAAAAAGAAAATTAGTTATTGATAATTTCTGTATAGTATCCATAATATGCATAATAAATGACGTAGTTAAGCGACGAATAATAATTACAATTGCTCATTATTCCTGTTGGATATTTTGAAAAGAGGGATTTTGCGGGCCATTCAGAGTTCCGTCACTACACTTCCAGGTGTCGACAAGGTGGTCCCAGGTAAATGGGACATTCTGAACTCCTGGGGTTTAGAAAATAATTGCGAAAAACGAGGTCTAGCCGTCCTCCCGGAAAAGGGGCCCAAAATTTACTTACGATCATCCTACTTATTCTAAGACAACACCTTCCAAACCAGCTTAAATCGGTCATCTAATCCTAGGACAAGCCATGGCACGCCGCAAACCGCTGCTAGCTCGACACCCCACAAACCCGCAATACTCGACAATTTTGATCAAATCATCTCTAATCCGATCTAACTCTTAATCCCACGTCCGCATGTCGTTATGCCCACTTGTTCCCTACTTTTCTACGGAAAATTTATCGTTAACGAGTGCTGTGTCGCTATTTATGAATGGACGGACTTTCCGTTCAGTAACAACACCAGTTAGTGCGATCGAAACGAGTTGGTTTGTCCCTAACTGGATTACCTTAATCTAATCGTTAACAAAACGTCTCATGATTTATAATTATAACATTTTATATATTATAATTTAACATAGAATTAACTGAAATATAACAATTTAAGACAAACCACTTAACCGAAGGCTTCCAAATAACAAGGGAGTACCGAATCAACGATAAAATTACGAATTTGATATGACAATCTAAATTGAAGCGTCATGTTTATGAATGTGTAAACAAGTTTTGAATGTTCTAACATCTGATCGGAAGCTGGTTAACCCAGTTTATACAATTAAGAATCGAAAAGAATTGTGAACGTGTGGCAAATTCAGTATACCGTATCTGAATAAAACTTCCAACACGTGTTTCATGAACACGCGAATACATTCTTTACCTAATTACTATTGTGCGGGAATGCATTAACTAATTACCGATCGTATCTCTTCTTTTTTTAAACATGAATGAAATCGTGCACATTTCGAGAATAAAATGATTGCTACGATTAATGATACAGTAAGACACGACGTAACGACTTTTGGCAATAACAAAATAGTTGAAGAATTTATTTGTTTCGATTTCGTCGTTATTCGCATGATCGAATACTCCATTTCAAACGAGTAAACATTTTGGTCATAATCTCGCAACTTGTCATTTAATTAAACGAGAATCGTTTTGTGGAGGCGGCTGACATCATCGTTGCGGAAATAAGTCGGACTCGAAATTTTACCGGCGGGAAACCCCTTGAACGTTTCCCCCTGAAACCCGCTTAGAAAAGTATTTAGAACGGCCGCCGGAGGAGATGAAGATGTTCCTAAAGATAGCGTTAATGCTTCGCAGGTGTCTAGGGAGGTGGGGGTCCCGTTTGAACGAAGCTCAAGAAGCTTCAGGTTCCCGGAACGGCGACAGCCGACCGAAAACGATCGGAAATTCCACGGTCGGATCTGGTCAAATTCCTGTCGCTCGTGTCGTTCGATAAGCGCCTACTTATCGTATTATCTTAACTCGTGCCAAGTCTGTAATAAGCTTCATTATGATGAACGTAACGGTAAATTTGGTTGACTCGATTGGTTACAGCGAACAGGATACGAAAGGGAATACCCCTTTTATGTCTCTTGCAATGTTATGGGTCGCAATGCCCCGATACAAATCATTACAAATGATTGATAATGAAAAGTAGATGTTTAATTATCGTAATTATTGAATGATTCATTGCTCTTCTACGACTTCTTCGTTTATGTACATTATGCAACGTTTTCCAAGTGCAAATGACAAGAAATTGTCACTAAAGTCACATCACTACTTGAGAAACAAGTGGTGATGAGCAAATGCAGGACCAAGATCAAGACTACCGCGGTCTTGGTCTTGCGCGGTCGAGTCTCGGTCCCGGAGCAAGACCAAGGCCAGAGTGGACGTTTGGTGGACAAGGCAGTGCCGCGCGCGGTTCCGTATAAAATCGTAGGAAAAGCAGTTTCTTGTTTCTCGATGGTCGCGATCTAATCGCAAGAGGCGAGAGGCGAGAGGCTGTCATCGTCTGTGGGATTAGGTTGAATCGGAATTGCGTTACGAGAGCAAGCGTCAAAGGAGTCGCGCATTCGTCATTAAATTGTTGTTGCGTGGCCGTTAATAAATGAGAATTTCTTCACACCCATACCGAGACCCTTCCAGGGTTATATCGAACCGGCACTGCGGAGCGACTCGCCGCCTCACTTCGGTGGACACTTTTTTGTCACCGTCGGACGTGACGGCATAGAATAATTTGCATTCGCGGGAAAAACGTCCCTTTGATCCGATTCCTGTGCGATGGGACGAGAAGGAGCTGATAACGTGGGTGTAATTGTTATATCGTTCGCCGAGGGTCGGAGGCGCGCGCAGCGCCATCCACAATAGGCAACATTAAATCTGCAAAAGAGGAGGTACGTACCAGGCGGTGGAATCAGCCGTAAAGGAAGCAGATACAATTCACAATGGGCTCGGCGAACCGATTCGAAGATCAAACGACTTCCTGGGAGGGCATTCAACGCCCGTAACCGGCCGGCAAGTGTCAAAAGTTAGAGCTCCGAAATATTCTCAATACTCTATGGCGTCGACGTCGCGTCGCGTCGGCGGAAATCTTCCCGAGACCTGCGAGCTGCGAGCCCGATACTCGACAATACCCCCTGCCGACGAACTTGGACCATTTATTTCTGACGTGCGATATAAGAAACATCGAGATCCACGCGAGCAAATATGCACGGGAGGTGCCATTCACGTATCGAGCGTGTCCCGTCGTCCATTAGTTCTGTCTCCCGACTGCGTCAGAAATCGGATTCACACGAATACGACGGAATCCTCCGAAAACGCGCCAAGTGTATTCTTCGCATGATTCGTTAAATGTGACGCATTAAACGGACCATGGGCGTCACCAAAAATAATCGCACAGGAAATTATATATTTTATTTGAAAATTGCACATATCTTGTAAGCGTGCGCATTCCGTTGATTTCGATAGTAATAAACAATTTGATTAATTTCATCTATTCAATCAAATTATCGTGTAACGACTAAGTTTAGACGTTATCACTAATGTACTAATCCCATAATAAATCTCCGATATTATTTCACTTATTGCCGGACCTATCGCTGAGTGATACTACTTGCTTGAATTATTATGATTTACTCCCCGCTGAAGGACACATTTCGATCGTTCACCTATATGCACGAAGCG